AGCGCTGGCTTTGCACCGGCTCCTGGCTCGACAGCCGGTAGTTCAACGACATTTCATTGTTTAATACTGCTTTTGATGAATGGACCTGCAAGTATTATAAATATGAACAAAATCTATACTTAAACTTTACATTTTTACATGTTAAAGAAATAACAATCTCCTATAAACATAAATAAAAGACAAAGCAATTTATCTGTTTACAATGACTGAAACAATCTTTGATTTATTTTACACGATAAACAAAATTTACGTTAGTAAAGTAAGATACACTAAAAAAAAATTCTTTAATAATTTAATATTCTTTATTAAACTACATTTAGTTTATCATATGAATTATTTAAGAAATTTCTTTCAGATCTATCGACTAAAACATACCTGATGGACACTATCATTGTGTTTTTCGGTATGACGGAAAATGGTGAATGGGCTGTGGTACAACGGATTGAGGTCCTTGCTGTAGGTGACTCCTGGTATCTGGTAGTCGTCCCACTCCAGGAAGCAGGCCTCCATGGCGGGGTGGAAGCCGGGGAACACCTCGCTCTCACTGATGCCGCTGATGTACGGCGAGTGCGTGTGGGATCTTGAATGTCTCGTGTGAGATGTAGAACTCATGTTAAGGTTGTTACGATTTTTTGCCACCTATGGAAAAATAATTAACCCATATTGGAATTTCAAGATCATTTGTTAGTTGTTAATTGGTAGTTCGAGGAGTTTTAGATAATTTTTACTAAGAGACTGTTTATTTAAACATAAAAAAAAACTTTAAGGGCCTGTTCCACTACTGGCTGATAGAGACTCAGACTGCTTAAAAATCATGTTACTGTCAATTAGGTAACAAAATCCATGATTTTCATAATATATTTTACATGATGGATTGTTATCAGACTATTTACAATTTGGTGTGACAGGCCCTAAGTATGTTAAATATGAATTTATTGATGAATGAAATAATGATGGGCTGCTCAACAATTAAATTAGTCATCACGGCTCAACTCAATGATCTATAACTATGTCAAAGAGCCATCAACAGAATCAACTTGCATTTCAGAGCACTAAGCACGAATCATAATTTTATGGAGATACAAATTGAGCTGTAAGATTGTTTACTGATTTGCTTCACATATGTGCTGATCTGCAGATCATCAAATGTACTTAAGTTACCAATGGCTTATTTTAGTCATATGAAGTAATTACTCGCCTTATCTAAGACCTTCGTATGCCACTGAGCGAACTGTTCGTGTAGCGTGTCGCGCTCGTGCGGCGCCAACGACGGATTGAGAGCAGCCAGGCGCCACAGTACCACCATCTGAAAAAATAAATCATTTCTAACATCGCATCGCAACATTCTTATCACGAGGTTCCTAAAACACCTGAATACAAAAAAGACAATAGAGATGAGAGAGAATACATGTTTTTATTTACCTATTTATTTAAAAAAATTCAGCACATGAGCTGTTTTTTCACTATAGTTCGAACATGCATGTTATTTTGCAATGAAGGTATAGTCAACATTTTGCCTTATACAAACTGTTGAAAATCCTAAAGCTTATCACGGAAGACATTCAGACAATCTGACTTAGACTACAGGCAACTTAATTCGAATTTGAGGAATAAAATTTACATGTGTAATGCAATCTCTACCATAGTAAGTTTCTTTTTCTCCTAGAAAATGTAACATTTCAATGTACCCACAATTAAACTTAATCTAAAATTATATTTTCTTTTAGACATAAAAGCTTAATATAGTTGCAATTATTGATAACTAGTTACATATAGCTGCTGTACGCTACGACGTGCGCTGTCGGCTGATTCGGCTCAGTGTTACTGTAACAGCACTCTTGTCGGCTATTTGTTCACCGGGAAATAAACTTTCCTACAGCATAAAAAACGTAAAACCAATAAACAAAATGGATACATTCAAATTTTTAAATTATAATTGTTAAATATATTGCAAGCCTTTAAAAACGTAGTGGAAAATAACGAATACTTTGTCATCATTGGAATTCGGCAGCATGCTCAATGTTTTACGAAAATGTTGATATCATTTAAGGAGGAAAGGGTTTAAAAATGTGTTGTGTATACTGCAGTTAGTTGTTACCTCATCACAGAGGGAGGAGCAAGCATGCTGCGCCGCGGAGTTCCCGCCGGCGCCGTGCTTCCCGCCCGCGCTGCCCGACCCGCTCCACGCAACCAGCGCAGCCTTAGTGCTGTACCACCACACTATGATCTGTACAAACATATTTATATCAAAACATCACCTTGAAGTTACCATAGAAGATACATCAACAAAAATAACAAGGACATTTAAAAAATACTCATTTAATGAACATAATTGTAATACCCTAACATAGTAAAACCCAATGGAATTAAAACAGCTTATTTATATTTAAACTATATAAAGTTAGGTGCAGTCACGGATATAGTAAAATTATTGATAAAACTTTCTTAGTGAACTGTTTACCTGTTCACAAGCCATGATCT